GTGTCCACCAATTATCAGTTCATCAGTTCGTGACCCAATGTACGACAACATTGACGTCTTGTCCACCAACTTTCAGTTCGTGAACCCACTGTGCGAATACTTTGCCGTCTTGTCCACCAATTTTTAGGTCGTGACCCACTGTGCGGCTTCCCTCCTCTTTTGCCGCACACCCCTCGCCGAAAACTTTCAAAGCTCGCCATTTTTAAACGGCTCAACCGAGTTTGCTCAAATTCAATACCAGCCTAGAACTAAGTAAGATCTTCCTTCTGTAAAAATTTCGGGGGGAAAGCTTTTAATTTGCGCGAGTTATCGCGCCCATAAAATTGAACCTCGCCCCCACTTCTCGCCCCCACCTTTCGAAATGTAATACTTCGATCTCCGTTTTTTTCGCAGAATGGTAGTCCTGTTCCTCTACTTTACGTCGCAAAAAGTTTCACCCGGAAATTTTTTTAAAATGAGGGAAATATAACCAAGCAAAAATCGGAAAAACCACGAGGATATATATATATATATATATATATATATTGTAAACGCATCGAGCCGGTCGCGTCAGTGTGACCGAAAAATGTTGTAATTCTGTCAATGGACGGAAGGAGAAAAGAACAGATGAATCGTTCAAATCATTGAAATGCGTGAAATTCTGGAGTATCCCTTTCGGAAATGAACGCGGTAGGTATAGGCTGTCGCTATCTACGTAATGAAAGGGTTTCTGCAAACGCAAGAGTCACGCATGTTGCATCCCGTACATATGAAGGAAAAAGTAAATGCTCCCGCTCTCGTCACAATCAGTAGGTAAGAAAAAGTCAGTTTTGTGCGGCTCTTGTATGGAAAGGTCCAAGCGAGTCGTGCTTGTTACGGAACTCATAATAGAAGGGGATAATTCATTAGATACTCTCGATCGATTTTGTGATTTCAAGTCCATTTGAGGGATTTAGGTACTTATGAACCACAGAATCGGTTTTTCGATTTTTTTAAAATTTTCTTACTGTTCAGGAATTTATTTTTTTCCTCTTTTTTTCTCTTTTTTTTTTTAAACCCCTAATGTATGTTCTTGCAGGGTCGGACTGACGCACCTCTGAGGGCGCAGACCCTTAGCCGGCGAAGGGGGCGCAATGTGATATTTTGCTCAGGAGTATGCGGGAACCCCCCCCCCCCCCTCTATCTCTCTCTCCCTCTCTCTTGNCCCTCTCTCCCTCTCTCTCTCTCCCCCTCTATCTCCCTCTCTCTCTCTCTCTCTCTCCCTCTCGAAAAGGCCGAAAGTTTTTAAAAATTAGACTCTTCTAAATAGAATTTTGACGATATTTTCGGGTTCAAAATCGATTTATCTTACAAAAAAAAATTCTGAAATTGAACATAATAATACAATTATCGGAAGAATTGTGAGATGAAAAATGTAAAACCTATCAATCAAAGAAAAGCTATTCGAGGCATCCAAACACCATTATCTCTGGAAAAAACAAGCCAGAGCTCAAGAGATCCAAAATCATGCCTTTGAAAACTGGAAGGTGGAAAATGAGGGTGACAAGAAAACAAGAAATACTTCAGACCCTGTATATTGTATAAATAACTGATACAATACATTTTAAATTTAAATTTTCAAATGTTTAAACAAAGTGGGAACAAAGTGACATCATCTTTAATTAGTCGAATCAAGAGAGGGACTAAACACGCAATTTGGCCTGGTGCTCAGTGCAGAGAGGAATGATGACGAGGACTTGAGATGAAAAGGAGAAGCCCTCGGCACGGCGGTCGGCATGTAACACATATAAGCGCCTACAAGATTGCATGAATACTTCACGCATTGCGTCAGACACAGTGCGGTCGGCGTGGGACGCACAGCGCCTACAACATTGTAGGAATACTTCCCGCATTGCGTCAAATACAGTGCGGTCAGTGCGGAGCGGCGGCGGAAGTTAAAATTATTACACCACATTTATGTTTGTTCTTTCTTAATTTTTTGGTTCAATACTTATAAATGGAAGGCCTTGTCCACAAAGATATAGGTTAACGGGACTTTTTCGCGAAAAGTTCCGTGAACTTTCGCTAGTATAGTGCTGACAGGGCTTTCGCAAAAAATGTGTCTAACACGAGTAAACGTGTTTTATGCGCCCCGCTACCTCCGGTACGTTCACTTGATGGTTTTATTGATGTTTCAAAACGAATGAGAAGGGGGCGGCAAAATACAGGCGGCCCATGGGTGGCAAGTAGGTAAAGCCGGCCCTGATGAATATACATACTACACAGCTGAAGAAAAGAAAAATGAGACAAGGAGACGGAATACAGAATACACTTTCCTCCATAACTCCTATTAAGGTGATTCGATGGACGCCATATTTTGTGTCAGAACGGCATGCGATATATCGCATCAATTGGTTCCATATTTTCAGCTACTCGTCATTTTTCTCCTATTTTGAGATCACACTTCTGTTGTCAGGAGTCTAAAGCACTCACTTACCAATTTTAACAAAGAAATTCAACGTAATAAAGGCGTGGTTTTTTCAGAGAGAAAACATCGCATTCGATACTGATATCGAAACTGCACTCGAATGCGATATTTTCTCTCTGAAAAAACCACGCCTTTATTACGTTAAATTTCTTTGTTAAAATTGGTAAGTGAGTGCTTTAGATTCCTGACAACAAAATTGCGATCTCAAAATAGGAGAAAAATGACGAGTAGCTGAAAATATGGAACCAATTGATGCGATATATCGCATGCCGTTCTGACACAAAATATGGCGTCCATCGAATCACCTTAAAGCTTCTCTCGTTTACTCATAATTTTTAGGCATTTTTTTCTTTACTTATTTTCTTTTCTCCTTGCTTTTTATTTATTATTCTTTTCTTTTTTTTCTTCTTCTTTTTTCCTTTTTTTTCTTTTCTTTCTTTTCTCCTTTTCTTCATTTTCTTTACTATCATTCTATCTATCCGCCGGAAGAGGGGCGAGCCTTTGGCGCGCTGAGGGGGGCGCATCTGCCAATGGCAGATTAGCCTTATGGTCAGTCCGACCCTGTGTTCTTGAACATATTAGGTCTTGGTGGACCCTGAGAATTTGAGAGAGGTTTCTGCCTATCTCAGTTACTATCAATCTTCTTGGAGGGGTGAACGGGAATGATTTTGGTTTAGACGTAACATTTCAATTTCCTCGACCGGATTTTTTACCCGAAAATGTTTTTAATGGTTTTTGTGGTTTAGGTATCAGAGTTCACCGGTTAGTTCAGTCAATAGAGCACATATGGGGGCTAAGTAAAGACAATTTCTGAGGAATCTTTTTAATAAATTATCCCCATGTATTTTTCGTCGCTGAATCCGAAATTCACATTTGCGAACAGATTTGAGGCGAGCCAAAGCCGCCATCTTGAAAAAATGGCCGAAATTTGCGTTTATCGGCCAAAAAACTGAAATAACTCGTATATCATGGAGTTTACGGCAAAAGTAGTTATTTTCCAAATTAAAGTACATTAAATTTCCTTTAAAGCGAGCCCAACATAGTCCAGATCGGATGATAACAAATGCCGTACAGTGTTGGAAAGCTTCACGCATGGGCAATTTTCGTAACTTTCTCTGCGAAAAGAGAGCTTTCAAGGCAATTGATCATTAAATCGTAGATAAGTGTAAGTATGAATGATAAAAGGAGTGCAATTTTGAGTTCTTGACTTACAAGAACGGCAGTGGACGAGGGGGGGGGGGGTTCCGTAGGAGCGCAGCTGCAGGATCCTCCCCCGTTTTCATGGCCCGGGTGCAGGCGGCCGGCCTTCGTTCTCCGGGTTAGAAGTTTTTCTTGATGTGCCTACATACAGATATATTCGCTGATGACAACATTACCTGCCACCAAACCAAAGAGACAGGCACTGCTAGATTGTCAAAAATATAGAGGGAAATTTAAGCGCGCCGACCGTTGTAATCGAATTAGCAGTATGAGGAGATCAATTTAGGTTGAAAACGATGTTGTTCCAATAAACCTTCTCTTATTATTTCGGTGCATAATTATCATTAATAAATCTGACGGGGAGCTTCAAATTTTTTTGTCGTACGAACTTCAACCCATCCATTCTCACTATT